ACGCAAAGCAGCTCAGTGTCAGAAAGGCCTTCCCCCTTTAACATAATGGCTGTGCGACCTTGGGGAAGTCACTTAGTCTCAGTGCTTTAGGAAACTCTCTACAATTATGTGTTAGGCACTGTACACAGTAACAGCAACATTGTGTGATGACTGACTTTGTTAGACTTAGCTCTTCTGAGCAATGCAATGGATCTAAGACAATTCCAAAAAACTCACTATGGAAAATGCTATCCACATCCAGAGAAAGAACTATGGAGTCTCAATGCAGACTGAAGCATACTGTTTTCTCTCTTTTTCTTTTTTTTTTTGGTTGTTTTTTGTTTTTTCTTTCTTATGGTTTTTTCCTTTTGTTCTGATTCTTCTTTCACAACATGAAAATATGTTTAATATGATCACATGTATAGCCTATATCAGATTGCATGCCCTCTTGGGGAGGAGGAGAAATTTAGAACTCAAACTCTTATAAAAGCGAATGCTGAAAACTAAATATTAAAAAAAATGTTAAAAAAAGATTATGTGTTAGGGCATATCTCTCCATCTGAGTTAGTACATGAGGTTTCTCACAGGGAGCTTCCTACAACAATAAAAACTGGTTTAGTAAAAAAAAAATATATATATGTGTATATATATATATATACACATATATATGTATATATATATATACATATATATGTATATCTATCTCTCTGTCTATATATCAGTATAAATGACTCTTGAGGAAGAAGAACATGAATAGATATATCTTCTATATTATTTCTCTTGTCAAAGTCCTTTCCATTCTATTTTCAGTCTTACTTTTTACTTCACCTCTGACAGACTTACTAAGTACTGAAGGGGCTTGCCTAGTTCCTTGGTCTTTCCTTCTGGCAATCTTTTGATGTGATTGACCTTCACTCACCTCATTTCTCAGATAGAAAAATTGAGGCAAAGCAGGAAAATGACTTTCTTAGAGGCACAGAGGCAATTAGTGGCAAAGCACCTAAGAATGTAAAGCCACTGAATCCCATATGGATGCTTTGTAGTAAGCATTTATAATCAGTCTCAGAAAGTAGATCTTTGCATTCCCAAGTCCTTGGCACCCATCCCATTTGGTGCACTAATCAGCCTAACACAGTAACTTCAGCATTTTAAAAGATTTCCAGCTGTAAGGCTATTAATTTTCTAATGTGGTTTCAACTCTTTTCTGACTTACTGGGGGGCTCTCAACTTGATAATCTTTTTCCCTAAAGCATTGCTGAAGTTATAATTAGCAATTTTCATAATTATGAGAGACAAATCAATCAATCAAAGTAGCTCTTCAGGTAGTGGTGCACATTGGAAGCAGAACTGTATCCCGCTAGTTAAATTTACAAGTGTTGAAACCAATTTTCAAGGAGTATAAATGACTTAAAGGTACATACTTCTGAAATGAGCCTGACTGAATAAAGAAAAGTGTTAAAGGTATTGAAAGCCACTAATGTCTCAAACTGTGTTTAAATTCTTATACATGATTGTTCTGATGCTAGGCAAGGAGGTACATTTCAGAGAACATGTTTAAAGAACTTGAATTATTGAGGTCTTTGGTAAATAACTAATAATAATTCATATTTATGTACTGATTTAAAGTTTACAAAGCACATCAATCACCACAAGCCTATGAGGCAAGCAGTATAAGCATCACTCTCCCCATTTTATAGACAAGACAATTAAGGTTCTGAGAGGATAAATGATTTGCCCAGGATTACATACATACCTAGGAACTGTCAGAAAAAGGAAACATGGCATAGTGGATAGGATGCTGGACTTGGATCCTTGGGTTCAAATCTTGCCTCAGATACTAACTATGTGACTTTCGGTA